TTCAAAGAACTTATCACCTCTTCAATATGTGAAGTGTTAGACGAATTTGGTACGAAATTCTCGTTGAGTTTGTTATGTCCCAAAGGTACGTTGCATTACACTGGATGTGATAGCAACATGGCGAGTCTTGCATGTGAGAAATCCGAATACGGGATACTCATCGGTGCGTGCCGCTGTGCTTACTATCAAAATTATGGCGGCTTATACGCCACTGTTTTAAAGTGCCAAAGTTGAGCAAATAGGCTAAAAAAACATATTTCATACGACCGCATTTATGATATAATAGAAATACTAAGGTAATTGCGAAGAAATGAAAAACAAGTATTTCCTGCATTAGGAAGTAATGCATGAGGAAGAAGTGAAATGCCTAGCTTGAATGCAATGCTATTGTTACGTAAAACACGTACAATGCTTGTTTACTGGATTCCTTATTTCTAGTTTATATAAGTCTTGCTTCGTTTGAAAAGGAACTGTGCTTCAGTAATTCATCACCATTAAATACTAGAAATTTAACGGTTTTCTTTAAAAATGAAGGGGATATTTAAATCAACGTAAATTATGATTATTGCTTTCATATTTAAAAATCTTTAACTTTTGTGCCTATTGGGTATTAATAAATCTTATACCTGTTTAAAGACTTTGGTTTTCATACATCTGATTTATTTATTTTTTACCATCACGAGAGTACACACTTAACAGTTACTTTGTGAATAAAGACGTGTAAGATGATTCAGAGTTCACAAATTGAATTGTTAGAAAGGGAACAGGAACGGTCGAAGTGAGTTTGTAATCAGCCTTTGCGATCATTATCAGTCTTTATTGAATTATAAATGAGTAATAATATTTTATTGTAAAGCATCGTTGTAAAAAAAGTCGTGATCCAATTCCTCCTACTCCATAACAAGCAGACGCTGAGCTTGCTTCCCTCCTTTTGTTATCGACGTTCCATGCATTAGTACGAAGTTGTTCACTGTATCATTTGTAAGACGTAGCAAAGTATTAGGTAATAACGGTCCTCAAGACTTTAATGAATATTCTTTTCATCTGCTACCACATTTAGCATTTACAAGCACATTCTTACCATGATCGTTTTACCATATAGTCAAACAGCTCAATGCCAATATGATAAATACAAAGACCATAAAAAGTGTAAAAAACGTTAGGAAAATTAAATATACTTTTCAAATATATACTGATTTATTTTATTTACGAGACTACTACAAATCATTAAATAAAATAATTTAACGTCCGCAATTAAAAATAAAATCATATAACGAAAAATAAACTTTACAGGTTTTCTATAAAATAATTTTGTTCAATAATTTTGGATATACAGATACTTTAAAAGCAACTCAAACTACAAATACTTAATATTTTCATTAAAACGCTAAGCACCTGTTTTTTGCAATGCATGCAACTGCTGACTTTCTATGTTGCTAATAGGCATCATTATTGTAATAATGCTTTTCGGCCTTTATTGTTCCGTTTGTAAATTACAAATTATGAACATTAATTAATTTTTAGTTTTAAATAATTTATAAAATTAACGGTGGTAGAGCCACGCAGCAGCCTCGGCTGTTGCACGAATGGGCAGGGTCATCCGGATAAGTACCACGACCTCACAGAAGACCGGCGTAAAGTGGAAGTATGACAAATACTTTCGCGTTTCGTCTAGTGAGTGAGGTAGCCGGAGCCCAATTTCCAAAAAAGTTGTCAACGTATCTGCAAACTCTCGGGTGTAGCAGATGTCTATGGGCGGCGGTATTCACTTAACATCAAGTGAACCGTCTGCTCGTTTGGCAACTTTTCACATATAAAAAAAAAAATACATATCGCTTATTGTAATTCCCAAAAATCTCATGTAAAGATTTAGTTTTAAATTATCTGTAGAGTAACATGAAGATCATGACGAGAGAGAAGTAAATAAAGAAAATTATTTCCATCCTTTTATTAAAAAAAAATTGGTGTCATTTTTTTTACAAAAATACGGAAGCTTTTTTACAACGGTTAGAGCAATTGTACAATTTGTTACAAATTTCCACACTCCAATGAACGATTTTACTTACTATGATTTTACTACATTTTCTCCGGTCGTATTGTATTGCAACCGGTGCGTGGCGTGACTGAGAAAATTGTGTTAATTGCTATACATATCGGTTTCAGTGATGACGAAAAATGTTAATAGGCCCACGAAGTAATTAACTAAGTTGTTTTACAATTATAAAAAAAATATATGATTACTTAATTTTGTTAAATTTAAAACAATAAGCAATGGAACTGGGTATCGTTAAGACGTCGACTACGACTAGTAGGATAGTCTACATACTACTTACGGCTGGCAAACAAAATCATTTGCCAGACAGTTACTGTCGATTATTTCATCTCCTTTAAAAATCGCAGAACCTGGGCGCAACAGCATTAGGCAAAACAACCACATCAACTATTGCACAGTTGTATTACAAAACCTATGTAAAGGATCAATTCGGACTGTATAATTAGTTTTTGACAATTTATTCCGGGTAAAAATATGTTAATGTTAATTCAAAGCTGTTTAATCCAAGTTTTTGATGTGTTACTTTAATTCAGTTAACTTAATTTTTTTAATTAAACTGTTGTTATTTTTTTAATTTATTACAGAATATGAATTAAATTTTTATTCAAAAACAATAACCGTCAATAGCAGGCGATCGCTAGAATGGCGTTGTCTTTTAATCGATGTACTACAGCCTGTATACTCCATTTCATTTCATAGTTTTAATTAAAATGAAGGAGGCCGTAAGTATTTCATAAATCTAAAGGCTAAAGAAACCTCAGTGTTGAGACAGCCTGTAGCAATTAAAAACTCAGCATTATAACTGATAAAATAAACTATTCCAACCTCACACGTGCCTTCTGTTATGTCGTCTTGAGGTGCGAAGTCCTATGTTGTTAATGTTAATGGGCGGTAATCACATACTATGTAAACCGTATGCTCATTATAAATCCATATTTGAAATCATTACGTTTGCAATTATTATCCACATATAGTATTGCGGACAATCTATGACGTGGACGTAATCTGCATACATATATCAAAAGGATTTGTCATAATGTCCACTCTGGACACATAATATTATAGTTAATGTTCCGCTCGTACCGATGTTACTAATATGTTCCGCTTTGGACACTGCATGTACTCCACGCAACGTTAGTTTTAAACGTTAAAAGCCTTGTTAGATAAGTCATTTAATGTTTCTAAAAAGAAAATCTCCGAATCCTCGCTTAGCTAGTTTATCTGGTTACGTAGATGTACGCGAAACGAAAAATGACGCGGCGATTGCGAAGATTTTGTTAGACTCGACACTACCGGTTAATACGTCATGTCCTAGATTTGCCAATGCCGCAGACTTTGACGCGGTGTAGATTTGACAAGGGAGCACGTTCGATCGTGCGGATCCTCGCTAAGTGGCGTATAACTGAACAAAATATTATGCATTCGATAGCGCTTCTAACTCACAGTTAATTCACACAATCTGTTACGCCGCGGCTAACGGGCGGTGACTTTTTAAAGCAATCATACAATAACGGCACTGAATAACGTAACGCGATATTTTCGCATTCTCATCTCATCGCTAAACAGAGTCGACAACTCTTCTTAGCGAAACAATTGTGTAAGAAAGGCACATACTGTGAAAGGATTAACATTAGATTTAAGCACAATAATTCTTGTCTATTTAGACTGTCTGATATCTTCGACTTTTCTATTTAAGTCGTTGGTAAAAAAACGTGCTTAACGTAATGTAAAGTTATAGCCACCGCCAACGAAATCCACCTGAGCGTTTGTATTGCCAACCTTTAAGAGTGTAGGCCCTGATTACATAATTCACAAGACTAGAGTACAAATGCTTCTAATATACGAGGCCGTGATGCTTCGCCGGTCGAACCGATCTGTTTATGCAGCAATAGAAACTACTGTACTTGTAAAAACTTGTTATTAATTAAAATTCAGTACTGGTGCTGAATGGAAATTTCAATCACTAATAGATATAAATGAATACATTAACGATAATAACCCGTGGTAATGAGATGATCGCTCCTAAGCTGTTTCTAAAAAAATATATATATATATACTGTATTACAATGTATGTGTTGAGAAAAAAAATATGACAAAAAAGAGGATACCTACGGAGTTTCTTTCGCCTGTTTCTTCTCAGTTAGAGGAGCCTCGTAACAAAACGGTGGTAGATTTAAAAAAAATGACTATCGATAAATGAAATGTATATTTCTTATTTCGATGAATCCATGATTTGAATTTGAATTTGAATACTCGTGTTCCATTCGTGATCAATTTCCACCGAATGTCCTAGAACGGAACTGTCGTCTCTCTTCGTCACAATTGGATTCTTTCGCTTTAATTTTATGGTTTATGTAAAACTGTATCGGACACCACTCATAGAAATGGATCACGTTCTCTACGAGACTGTAAACAGCCATTGAAATTTTAAAGCTTTAAAATTTCTATAGTCATTTGGGCAATTTCACAATCGGATCTACCCTTTCCGAACGTGGGCGAACAGAGAAACACAGGAGTTTCGGTTGAATGCGAACGCTGACCTCCCGGTCTAGATAATAAAAACGCTTATCCGTCTGTTTGTCTGCGTAAATGCCCGCAACGAATCGCCATTGTGATTTATTCGAGGATTTTTAAACCGGCCGAAACGCTATTATAGGTTGCAAAATTGACAATCGTCTAAATCGAAAAGGAGTGTATGTTGCAACTTGTGTTGTTTTGTTACGAATAAGTTTACTTTTAGATATGAACCGTTTTACACTTGTTTTGTTGCTTGTTTGTTAGAAGTTTTTAGGTATTGCAAGGTTTAAATTAACAAAAAAAGCTTGATCACTACTTGCATTTACTGGTTAAAAAAATTAATTGTACATTTTCTTACTTGATCATAACTCACTGCTGTGGTAGTAAAATCTTCAATATTTTTTCTTTTATAAATCCGCTGATATCTTACCTGATAAAGCTTAATAATATGAGGATGATCCAGCCTCTTCATGATGTCCACTTCTCTGTAGACCTTCTGAAGATTACCGGCGTCTAATTGTGATTTATCTATAATCTTAATTGCTACCTGTAACAAAAGATTAACGCCATGATTAACTTCCTTCACATAGTTATTATTAAGCGTGAATGAAAAATATAAATAATTTGACTTAGGCTAAAAGATGGATGTACAGAACAAGTTGCTTGTGAAACAATAATGCTCCTAATAATTGATGAAAGATTTCATATGATGAGAGATAAAGTACGAATTTGAGAAAATAATGTTTTATATATATATTTTGTATACTTATAATATAATCTGCATAATTATTACTTATAAATTCTATAATACATGGCATTTAAATAAAAAATAATATCAACTATATTCTATACAAACATGAAACGGTAAAGAAAAAGGAAGAATGTTACAAATAAGTTAAATTATTATATACTACGAATAACGAACTATCATTAGCTTAGTGAACGACTCATTCAATAATTGAATGTATTTGTAATGTATTGAATGAATGATAAGCTGTTGATTTGGTTAGAAGGGATTTAGTCTTGATGATGTTGGGGTCCTAGCATCTTTACAACAGGAAGTGAACAAGAACTTCACAATAGAATGTACATTATTACCCAAGGTGTTTTTTTTCTCAGTACACGGTTAATTTAATGATTCAAACACCATTTTAAAGCTTGTTTGCCGGTGTTGACGAGTAGAGAAGTAAAGTAGTCATATGGAATAAACTTTTACAAAAAACTCGTTGAAAATAATTATAATGATAAAGCCATCTATTGACAATTCGTTTAAAAGAAAGATGACAAAGTAGACGGAAAAACTACTCTTCCAGATAAGATACCGTTCATTGATAAATACCAATTTACACTTTACTACTACGGTGTACTGTAAGAAAAATTCGCAAGCGTAAACTAGCACAACATAAAATGGAATCAGTTCATCACTTAGATCATAGTTATGGACCGTGAAAAACCAAAAATCATTTCCGTTAGGCTACAACGGGACAGAGCCTCTGGGTGTGTGTATACAGCGTGTCGTTACCAACGCGACAATAAATGAAAACACATATAGAGGTTAACTTTTTAAAATTGTATCAAAAATTTACATTCTTTTAACATTAATATTTACAGAGTTATTAAATTTTCCAAAACAAACAATTTTAGAACACCCTTACGTATAAAACTGTAACGTAAAGTTCATTTGTAAAGGTCACAAAGCATAATATGAATGGGTTGAATGAATTTAAAAGAAACAAAACATACTGTTAGAAGGAGAGGCTTGTAATGCGACGCTGTGGCGCGAGTTGTATAGGATGTTACAAATTTTGTTTCTTTTTTACTTAATTAGTTTGTTTTAAAAATATTTTTTTTAATTATGGTTTTTTTTTAACTTTAATATTTTTTTATGATTATTGGAAAGTAGCGTTAGACGTGTGTTCATTTATTGTCGCAATGGTAACGACACGCTGTATAGTTGCTGTGTATATCTGCCCACACATACGAAGGTGCTGACGTCAAACGTACGTCACGAGCCCCAGACGATTGGGGCAATTGACGTGATTGGAGCGACCTCCCCAACAGCGATTTAATAAAAGACCATTACCAAAGAAAGTCGCCAATATTTCAGAGGAAATGGGTGTATTAATAGAAATTTAATAAGGCTTCTAAGATTTAAGCCGGAGATACCGTATAAATCAACTTGATTGTAGTTAAGTCTATGGACGACGGAAAGGGCAATCGGCTCGTATACCTTTTGAATTATACCTTGCCGTTATACAAACTAGTGAAATGTTCGACCAGATAAAACACCAGCTTACTACCCGGATGTAAGATTAAACGCTGTTATAACGTAAAACCAAACGACGCCTACAGAAACGGGACAGCCCCGACAACGCTCTGCAGACTATAATGTTTTTGTATCTAAATAATCTCTCACGTGTCTCTTATAACCAACAAGAGAACTTACGAGAGATCATTTTCGCTCGCACTTACCATCTCCAATCAGTCTCTTTAAATTCACATCGTCGCTGAGGTTAGTTCTTTTCAATTTACTTAATTATTAACTGTAAAGCCTGTGTAAGCTTTCGTTGTGTTAACTTAAAAAATAATAATAAATCAATGTAATACCAATGATAAATAACGCATAAAGTTTACAATGAGAGAAAATACAGACAGAAACAAAACGTAAAGTATTTGCGGCATCGCGAATGAACTGCTGGTCGTATGGTCTGACATTGACCCCATTGGGCTATAGGAACAATGCGCTCGTGTGTTGCGTCATTGGACCTAACATTAATCGGACTCTTCCGATTGACGGTGTTGTGGTTATCAGCGAATGCTTCGACGTGCTCTGTGTTACATCTTGAACACAGACTTACGGCGTTTTGATACAACTTCAAACGAATCGAGCGTAATTAAATGACATCTAGCACCGACAGGGTTATAATTACTTTGTCTACCGTTAAGGCGGTACCCTGACGAAATCAAGAGCATAAATAATTCTTATAAACACTGGTCTTGTGTGATTTTTAGTTACTTGTTATCCAGTCCTTTTCTTAAGCGCAATCACGTCTCTCTCTACGAATGGCTAATCCGAAAATAAATAATATTCAAAATACAGTAAGGATTATTTTTGTATATTTTTTTAAATGGAGTCCTAATCTATCGTCACAATTGTTTTGTTGTTGTTAGTTTTTTTTCTTTTGTATTTAAGCGGTGTCAAACGTAGTTTTTATTTCTTTTTAATAGCATTCAAAGCTATGTAAGTCAAACGAAAACCTAAAATACGTATATCACAGTTGCTCTTTCGTTGGGATAATATTCGCTACCAACGCATTATCGTAAATACCTCGCACGTCGAGGCTCTTTGTTGCGCGTCATCTGCTAATGGTGTAACCAATAATATCGCATGATAAAGGTGCGAAGCGAGAGTACTTTAATATTTCGTCTTTAAACTGTTTTAGCGACGATCACGCTTTTTGAACGTTTCTTAGTGTTAAGTAAGCAATTATACACAGTTATTTCAAATTCTTAATAAATTTAAAATAGTTGTTAAATTAAAGTACGATACGGATAGAGCCGTGATAGCTCAGTGTCCGGGCGCTCGCCTTTAATTCAATATACTCGAGCAACCTGAGTTCGATCCCCGGTGCCGGCACCAATGAAGTTTTTAACTTTAAGTGCTGACTTATCACGTGCTCCGCGGTGAAGGAAAACATCGTGAGGAAACCTGCATATTTTCGAAATAATAACAAAAAAAATATATTTCGAAGATCTGTGAAGTCCGCCAATCCGCAGTGGGGCCGCGTGGTGGACTATGCCCTGATACCCTCTGTATAGAGGAGGCCTTTGCCCAGCAGTGGGACATGTATAGGCTGTTACTTTACTTTACTTTACGGTACCTTTAAGCCGAACCAACTAAACCATTAATTTAAAAAAAATTATATATGCGATTAACGCCAAACATTGTTCTTATTTTTGATACACCCGCGTTCCGCGGCGGTTCCTGCCAGCCACCGATTAGCTAATTCCACAGTCGACGGCCATCGGGGTTTCGGTCCGAACCGCGGCCTGATGGCCCTTAGATGACACACCATACTTAAACGCACGCATGAGCACATGCGTGGCCCTACCCGGCCCAAACCCGTGGGTTCTGGCTAGCCCACCGGTTCTGCGTCAGATGAAGCTTTAATAGTCTCGGGACTGAAAGCACAAACATCAGTTAATACAAGATACAAGATCTTATTTTTGTTATAATTAATTAAAAAAGATATCAAAATAATATGGCTCCTGCACGTTAGATAAATAAATAATTTATTTCTATTGACAAAAAGGTTTTCATACGTTATTTAAAATTTTCATAAACTCACAACATAATTTCTGAAGAGGTAAAATTCATTTTAACAGATTCAATTTCTTTTTTCACTTCCTCATAATATTTATTATAAGACACATTCGCCGTGAGAACTTGAGAAAATTAGGGATTAAATTAATTTATACAAACGTTTGTTAAATAACAAACCTTAACAATTTCTTGATCTTCAAGATGATATATTGAAATGACAGTCATTTTTTATAAACAATGACCCGAACACATTGTTCATAAATAATTTTTATCATGTTTACCTGATTAATCTCTTAATTATTTTAATGTTGCAAGGGTCGCGAAAATACGGATAAGATATACGGATGTTATACTTTTGTGTAATGAGGTATATAATAAATTATATCTGGTTCCGACTGAGACGTTATGATGATTGTAGTCATTAAATTAAAATAACAAATTAAGATAAATTTTATATACCGTCTCATTGGAGGAGACTTTGGTGATTGGGCAAAATGCGAGTAGATTGCGTTGATATTTGTAACAATGTCGAATCTTATCCATTCTATGATATTTTTAGTTCCACGTTAATTTCAACAACACAAAAAGACGACACCTATCTTAGCAATAATATAATGACGATATGTAACGATTAACTGTATTAACTAAATGTATTTATACAAACGTTTCTGTTTGCATTATTAATTGGAATGAAATTTTATTAGCACTTTTTGGTCTTTCGTGCGACCACACTACTTCCCTAAACAAGCCTGCACATTCGAGCGAACACTGCTGTATAGCCCATCCACTAGAAGTAGTAGCAACCTACTATATAATACATTTAAAAAAATAGTGAACATGCCTGCTGCTTCTATATAAATTTTCTATTTAAAATTCATTTAAGATGCGATTTTAAGACACACTAACAGAGTAATTAAATGAAATATCTAGTATCATTGCTAAAAAAACTAAGGCTAGAAATATAAATCAATGTCTAACAAGCGGACTGTGCCAATCGATGCGTTCAACGATTTCATTTCAGAATATTTTAAAATTTATAATGCTTCTACAGATTTACTGATGTTTTTATTATAAATTATTAGCTAACAGCTTTACTGAGGAAATAAATGGCGTTAAATCATTTATAATAAAATGTTGTTGCAACAAATAATGTTAAACTCTTTAACAAATATAATTGTAAGTCAATCCAATTCCAAATTCAATAGTTATAATTCTTCCAGAAT